TACTAAAATGACAATTAGTTAACATCTTGATATTAATCATAGTAGGATTCATATTCTTTAATATTGTTCCTTGAGTATTAATTAATATCTATTCATATTTCATGTTAATATTTTGAACATCACTTAAAGTATCAACTAGTTTTGTTTCTCATATTAATTATTACTAGAATCAATCGGTTAATACGCTTGTTATTAATCCGGTTCTTTCAACAGTAGTAAACTTGGATTATTAATGCATGCATCTCATGGTTAATATGCCAAGGGGAATTAATTATATTGATTAAACCAATAAACCGCTTGTGTTGAGGTTATCAATCTCAATCGTTTTCATCTTAAGTTTATTGCTACTATCAAGTTAATATACGGCGCTTGTTCTATATTGATTCGATAGTAAGTTTTATTAATGAACGCATCTCGTTATTAATAACTACCCTCGATGAACTGGATATACTCCTCGATTGAGTATTCGAGAGGAAGATAGTTAAAGATATAACTGGGATCGACGAACATTTCATTAAGTGGATAAAAGCAAAACCAAGCCTCCATATCCATTAATTAAACTCATATAGGTTGTTCATCTTAGTATTTTTAAATCAAACAAATCTAACCCCCCCTTGTTACTACTTATGTAAAAGAAAACTATTCCTTTCCCTGTGGATACGAACCTTACTTCGTTATACTACGTATAATCGTTGTATTGTAATTATTTTGAGTGCACCTCACGACAAGGGCACATCATCTGTTCTGGTCTGTTTTGGTCTGGTATGGTATGGTCTGTTCTGGTCTATTTTGGTCTGGTCTGGTCTGGTCTGGTCTGATATGGTCTGGTCTGAAATTTTATTTTTTATATTTTTTATATAAAGATTTTTTTATATATATTATAATCCATAAATAATTATATTTTATTCATTTATAATTACAAATAATAATAACAATAACAATAACAATAATAATAATTATAACAACAACAACAACAACAATAATAATAATTAGGGGTGTGCACTATCCGGTTTAAATCAGAAAACCGGACCGAACCGAACCGGAAAAATCGGAACCGGATCGAACCGGAATGATATCCGGTCCGGTTCGGTACGGTCCGGTCTGGTTTTGAACCAGGGCACACCTCTAATAATAATAATAGTAATAATAATAATAATAATAATAATAATAATAATAATAATTAGGGGTGTGCACTAGCCGGTTTTAACCGGAAAACCGGACAGAACCGGACTAGAAAAACCAGAACCGGATCGAACCGGAATGATATCCGGTCCGGTTCGGTCCGGTCCGGTCCGGTTTTGAACCGGTGCACACCCCTAATAATAATAATAATAATAATAATAATTAATAATAATAATAATAATAATAGTTAGGGGTGTGCACTAGCCGATTTAAACCGGAAAACCGGACCGAACCGGACCGGAAAAACCGGAACCGGATTGAACCGGAATGATATCCGATCCAGTTCGGTACGGTCCGGTTCGGTACGGTACGGTCCGATTTTGAATCGGTGCACACCCCTAATAATAATAATAATAATAATAATAAAATATGGTCTGGTTTGGTCTGGTCTGGTTCATTTTAGTCTGGTCTGGTCTGGTCTGGTCTGTTTTGGTCTGGTCTGGTCTGGTCTGGTCTGGGACGAATTACTGTCCAAGGAAAAACAACCTAGGTGAAACTGAAATGTGCGGAATAAAAGGTACGGTGTGATGTTATTTTTGTACATTTTATTCCGCACATTTCAGTTTCACCTAATGCACAATTGAGTTTAAATTTTTATTCTGCACATTTCAGTATCATCTAATACACATTTCAATTTCATCAAATGCACATTTCCGTTCCACATAATACGATCCAACGGTCCAGATTCGTTCTTATTTCTCTCCTGGGAGTTAGGGGTGGGCATAAAAACCCGTAACCGATTTACCGAATCCAAAAACCGAAAAACCGGCACTTTTTTGGTTAACCGTACCACATTTTCAAAAATTACATGGTACGGTTAACCAACCGAAAGAGAAAACGGTTTGCGGTATGGTTACGGTTTTAAATTATTCAAGGTTGGTTAACCGATAACTGAATGTTCAAATATTATATGCTTCGTAATTCTCATATGCCAATATGCAATCAAAAATATAAATCTCACTGCAGCAGCACCATGGAACGAATCCAAACTTGGGAAGAATTTAAAAACGAAGTGTTGCTGTGTTGTATAAGGACGAATGTTGCTGCTAGACATTAAGGATATACATACGAAATAAATTTGAAGGAAATGAATTAATAAGATATAGAGTGTGTGTAATTATATGAAGTATCTTCTGATTTATTCAGAAAAAAGTTGCATTGATTTTTTAATATTAAACTATATTATTTTTGTCCAACGGTAGAGGGTAAAAAGGTATAGTAATTAGTAAGTATCTCATGTCTTCAACACAGATTTTACATTGATCGAACACATAAAACTCCATATAAGCTAGCAGTTTAATTACTCTGTATTTTTATTTAATTTATTTCATGGTTATTCGGTTAACCGGTTGGCGGTTAACCGAAATTTTGGTTAATCAATATCCGGTTAACCAAAATTATGGTACGAATAGTGGTACACAAAATATAGTAACCGAACTCTCAGTTAACCGAAAGTTGATTAACCGAAATGCGGTTAACCAACCATGCCCACCGTTACTGGGAGTCCGTTCTTACCGGAACCGCTCCCTATATAAATATAGGATGCGATTCCAGTGAGAACGATGCTTAACGTGAGAACGTGAGAACACTCACGCTTAACGTGAGAATGTGAGAACACTACATGTGCCAACCACATGGAGTAATAATTAACTCATCTTATTTTCAGCATGATGAATTAAATATTATTTAATCCATATAATAATATTTAATTCCTTTTAACAATTTAATCGGATGGTATAATCACTTGTTGTGTGACCCATAGGGCCTTATATATTAAGCACTAATGAAATTAAGGTCTTAGTAGAATCCCTAGACGATTTACCAGACAAACTTAATATATAAGGACGTTTGCGAGGACTATTCAAACTTCCTGTAATATAGTGATACGGTCCTTTCATTCAGTGAACATTCAACTAAATCTAGAACTTGATATTATGTCTATTCCAATAACTTAGTCTCTGTCTCTCAATCTTTCTGGATGATCCATAATGATCATATTCGATATCCAAAACGAATATATTTTTGCATTGACCAATGACTTTATGATCCATCTAGATATGAGAAGTAGAATGTTCTCTCTTAATCTATTATGAGGAATGAATTCTTTCTTGGCTCAACTACTACTCCATGTGCTTCGTGATGCACCCAACACATGTCGTATCTACCCCGATTGGAGTGCAAGCGTTGGTCATGGTCAAAGTACATCACTCCGCACATGTAGTACGTATTGACCTCAAGTCGGAGGACTATTACACTACTCTATATGCCGATAATCCCATAGACACATGAATAAAACTTATCAAATGGTTTCTCGGTGGATATGCCAATATTCTCTAAAATATCTATGTGACCATCATGAATTACAGGAACTCATAGTTGTGAGATCAATTATACTTTCTAAAAGTATGATGCAGTCCACATACCAATCTTATCGCATATCATCAATATCCCATTCTTGATGATCATTGATTGGGGCTATTTTAAGACCCTATGTTATAGATAGTATCATATAAGCTCCCACTTACTTATTGACAACATAAGTCCAAGGGAACACAATTATGAATAAGATATTGGCAATCGAAATACTTAATCATCAATATGTAATACCGTATATATCAAATATATAAAACTGAATGTGATCAAGTACATATATCTCAAAAAAGTGATTGTCGCTAGGACATATATACTAACAATCTCCCGCTTGGCCTAGTGCCAATCACCGACGCGTCTAACACCTAGACTCTCAAAAGCCTACAATGTATCTCGTGTCTCAAAGGTTTGATGAATGGGCCAGCCAAATTGTCTTCTACGGGAAGACATTCGATTGCAACTTCTCATCTTGCTATTTGTTATCAAAACATGATAGCATACTGGTATTTTCTAGTTCCTTACTTTGCATCTTGGTTCCTTAGTTTGTGCAAATGCACCGATACAGTCACAATAACAATTATTGGATAACTGTCACTAGGAACTACCCCTATTCCTTTAAGGAACTAATGTATCTAAACGCTTACCTATGTTGCATCAAATTCAACAATTTACTAGGCTCTATTTGTCGAATTTATAGTAGTTTCTTACTTGTAACTCTTTCAGCACTACTATTACATTGAGACTAAAAACATATACTGACTGTGACTCGTGGTCTTTCTTATCATACATGAAACTAGTGCTAGAATAATTAAATTCTACTAGTTCTTTCTGTCTACCATAGACAAAAAGATATTCATGAAGATTTTGGGTGACCATTCTTTCACGGACTTCAATGAGGGGATATCATTTCTATGATCAACATATATGATTATAAAGACCTCGCTATCCTTGTTGCGCACTCTAAACACGCAAGCACCCTCATTTCATTTGATGTTGTCAAACGATTTGACTATTTCATCAAAAATAATATTTCAACTCCTAGAGGCTTGTTTTAGCCCATAAATAAATTTCTCCGATTAACATAGTGATTTAGAATTTGACTTGGATGCAAAAACCTTCAGGTTGTACCATGTACACCGCCTCCTGGAGGTTTCCATTAAAGAAGGGTTTTGACATCCATTTGTCAAATCTCCAATCATATTATGCAGTTATCACATGCAAAATTCGAATGGACTTCAGTTTTGCAACTCGCGAATAGGTATCACTATAATCAATTCTTTCTCTTTGACTATAACCTTTAGTCACTAGCTTAACTTTGTACGTTTACACCTTACCTCCAACATCAATTTTCTTTTTGAAAATCCTTTGTATCCAATGGGTCTAACCCAACAGTCAAGTCAACCAAGTTCCATACTTGATATATATATCAAGTCCATTTTAGATTTCATGACAACTCGGCACCTCTCTACATCAATATCTAATATTGCTCTAGGTCTTAGGTTCTACCTGTGGGCATCGATTGCACACACAACCATGCTCTCTCGCCGATACGGATATTCTGGGATCTACCGGCTGCTACAGTGGTTTCCGATCTGTAACCTTCTCCGAAGAAGACTTACTAGTCCTCTCTTCCCCCTTCCGCTACGCCCTTGTAGGGACCTTCCCTTTACGCCGACCCCCCTTTCTTTGATTCGCGTTGCATTTAAGGCGTTAGGGTTCTCTGAGCCCTACTCGGTATGTCTTCTCAAATCTAATATTGTTCTTATCATCTTCGACTCGATCATTGATTTTCATCGTTTTTGGTAGAAAAAAATCTAGGATTTTTTTGGTTCGAAGATGTTTGTGACACGATGGACTCCGTCCTTCTCTGTGGACCGGGATTCACCGGTTGCACCGGTGTGGGTAGCTCTGGAAGGGCTTCCCGTTCACCTCCATGATGTGCGTGCCCTTTCAACAATTGCTTATACTCTGGGGAAGCCAATTCGTATTGACGCCCCAATAGCTAATTTCTCCAGGCCCTCTGTCGCGAGAATCTGTATTGAAATTGATATCTCACAAGCTCTCCCCAAAAAAATTTGGATTAGAAATCGAACTAATGGTTTTTTCAGTCCATTGTTTATGAAAATTTACCTGATTTTTGCAACTCTTGTTCTCGGTTTGGCCACAGTTTGACTGGATGCCCTCGGGCAACCTCAATATTGGGGCCTAAACCGCCTACAGATGCTACTGATTGTGCACCCCCTGGGGTTTATGATTTGGTCACAGTCTCTGAATTTGTTGACTCCGTTGTTAATTACACTGAAACTGCTGATGCCCAAAAACCTGTTGATGCTACCGTTTGTGCACCATCTGGGGTTTCTGATTTGATCACAGTCCCTTGTGATCCACCCTCCCAATCCCGGAACCACCCCCTTCCTCTGAACAGGCTGCTGCAACCCAGAGTTTAATTGTGAATGTCAATGATGATATTGCGGTTGTTGCCCCTGCTAATTCTTTAGAGGTGCAGGCATCCCCCGGTGCTGAGGCCCTTATTGCGGATGTTATTGCGGATGATTTGGTCATAGTTGTTCCTTGTAAACCACCCTCCCAATCCCTGAACCACCCCCAACTTTCTGAACAGGCTGCTGCAACCACAGTTCTAACTGTGAATGATTTTGCAGCTGTTGCCCCTGTTGTTGATAATTCTTTGCAGGTGCAGGCACCCCCCCGGTGCTGAGGCCCCTATTCATGCTGCAACTTTTGATAAACACGCTACTAATGAGGATTCAACAGTCCATACAAATGCCCCTACTGTCGCTATTGTTTCTGCCCAACCACATATGAGTGCAAACCCAGGAGCACCATATGCTGCTAATATGCATTCTGTCCTGCCTGTTACCTGTGATGCTCAGATTGCCGTTTACAATGCTGCACAACATGAAGTGGTCCATGATACAGATGAACCCCAGGTGGCCACCCGTTCTGTGGCGGTAACCGGGGGTGTTCATTTATCTATTCCTGATGTTTCCTTTGAAAACTGATCAGGACATGATGAGCCCGTCTCTGATCCTACACTTGAGAATACAGTTACTGCGCTTGCATCAAAACTGTCCGGTGATGAAACTCTATCTGAGGACAGTCAGCCACTAACCCTTTTAGTTTCAGGTCATCAAATAGCTGAAGAGGAAGTCTTTGATGGATTTACCCAAGTCAAATGAAGAAATAGCAGAAACATATTCTCAAAAACAATTGGAGTTGAAGTCAAAGAGGATGAACAACAATACTTCCAAGCGGGGTATACTTCACACCCAATGATCACCAGAAGCCACTCAAAAAACCCCAGGATGACACAGACTTTTTTCTCTACCCACTTGACGAGAGGTTTGACTCCCCCCATAAACTCGCAGAGGCTCTGAAACGCTACAAAAGGTATCATCTAGAGAGAACCTTCTACCAGCCCTATCTGCAAAAGGCCATCAAGTTCCATAATAGATACAACAGATCAATCTCGGTGGCACTTGGAATTCCCACAAAAAATTTCAACTGCTGATGTTATTTTATTTTCCTTTTCCCTTATTTGTTTTGTACTTTCAAATTCCTACGCATGTACCTTTAACTTTATTTTAATAAATTAGGGAGGTGTTCCCCGGCACCTCCCACCTAGTGTGGTTTATTCCAGGCAAAAAAAAGGAATGACAACCATGCCATTACTTTCTTCATAAGAATCACTTGCTGGTGCGAAGCGTTTCCTATATTACTCCCACTAGCAGAAGGATATTCTCCTAGAGACATTCTTCGAATTAATTCTCCCACCGAATCCTTCGTCAGACCATCTAACAAATCTTCATTCTCTATGTTACTTCAGCTTTCAATTTTATTAGTGCACATTTATTTACAAATGTAGGGCAACCCATATTTAATATGTGAAGAAAATGTCTTTTATTATACCATAACTCATATAGTACGTTTTGCACTAATCAAACTATTGAGAATGCATATTGAGATTCATAGCGTGTACCCTCAAAAGAATGTTTGGAAGAGAAAATGAATTCCTCATAGATCTAGCCATGTCTAACAAAGTCCTATTTCTCCTTGCAGAAACGCCACACTTCTGAGGTGTTCTGGAGGAGTTCAGTATGACCGAATTCTTTGACCTTTTAAATAAATTAGAAATTTTACTTAAGTACTCTTTGGCTTGCTATCCTTTTTCCTGGAAAAGGTTTATTAGTCAATTTACTTGAAAGACAAGATTCACAATTTTCATATGACTCAAAAGCAAATGGTGTTAAATAATCTAATTTATTTAACGTTGCTATTCTTGTTTCATTAATTTGACCAAGTTTGCAATGTCATAGATAGGTAGTAATTTTTCTGATTACTTAATCGAGATCCTTTTATTTTATTCATTTAATATCTAATATGTCGATTGATAATTAACCATTCATAAGAAAAGCATTTCCACAACACAACCATTTTACGAAAATAACAATTATTATTAGCAAAATGGAAACATAAATCTTTTAGGGAAAAGTACGGAAAAGGTACTTGTGATTGAGCCGGTTTTCAGATAGGGTAATGTGTTTCATTCTTTATCAAAGTGGTTCATGTGTTTGAATTTCGTTATCACAAGAGGGTCATGCCGTTAAAAACGTCTGAAAAAGACCGTTAAAAGTAACTCCGATTTTCAAAAGTGTGCGAAAAACTAAAAGAAAAATATCGGAAGGTGCGCCTCAATAAGATGACCGCTAGGCCATCTTTCTTTTTTGTTTTCAGCCACCCTTGTCACTCAAAAGTCCATCAGAAAATTGATATTAGCAAAATCATTTTTAAAAAATAATTCAAACAGGTTTGAAAAATCTAAAGGCGAAGGTGGTTTGGAGGTCATCTTGACGAGGCGCACCTTTCGGTATTTTTCTTTTAATTTTTCGGACACTTTTGAAAATCGGAGTTACTTTTAACGGTATTTTTCAGACGTTTTTAACGACGTGACCCTCTTGTGATAACAAAATTCAAACACATGAACCATTTTGATAAAGAATGAAACACATGACCCTATTTGAAAACGAGCTCAACCACAAGTACTCTTTCCGTACTTTTCCCAATCTTTTAATGTCTAACATATGAATGGAAATAATCTTCTTGGTAATAGAAGGAATAAAATAACAATTATTTAATTCTAATCTAAAACCACTGGGCAAATCTAAACTATAAGATCCTATCACGTTCACCAGCAACTTTTGCTCCAGCCTTCACACGTAGGTCAATTTTACTCAGTCCAACTGCTACACTGCTTCTCAGGCTTCTGCACATTTTTACAAATGTGTAAGCCATAAGTTGTATCTAATACTTTAACAATGAGAGGGTTCCGGTGAGAATAGACTCCCAGGAGAGAAATGAGAATGATTTTTGGCCTTCCATTGTTTTAATCGTGTGGCTTGGATCTTCAATTTTGGCTTCAAAAAAACGCACGTGAGTAATGCGCGGAGTCATTAAAAAAAGAAAGAGTGCATTAAGAAACTACCGGAAGGGCAAAGAAGTAAAAGCATGTGGCGAGTAATAATGGCGGTTGGGCGCACTACTTTTTATATGGAAAGAAATCCCGGCTAATGTGCCGGTATTTTTGAAAGAAGAGAAGTGGCTAGTGCAGAGTTCTACTACAGACAGAGCTCGAACGACGCTTGGAAGAAGCAATCCACCACCAGCGAAACCCTATGAAGGCGTGGAATAACAATGGCCTCAACGAACGAAAACGATGGAGCATCAGGAAGTGGCAAGAGTGCAACAGGTACTCTAATTGCGAAGGTCACTTGGTGACTATAGGTTTGGGTTTTTTATTTTGTTTAGATTGAATGCATGTTGATAGTATACGTTTTGGTTGAACTTCTTTGGAGTCTTGTGCAATAGATATTTTGAAAAGTGATTTTTTGGATTCAAGCGAGACTCTTGTGACAGGAATGTGCAGTAGTTTAGTGTAAAAAGTGATTAATGTATGAAGTAGTGTTGGATGAAGGACTGCTAAATAGTTGAAATTATGTTAAGCAGAAAGGTTTTGAAAGTTTTTATTGCATGAAGGACTGCAAAATTGTTGAAATTGGGTAATGAACAATTTTTTTTACTGAAAAGCAGCGATATAGTGCATGAAGTTATGTTAAAAGTGCTAAAATATATACATCAATTAGTAAGATTTAGGGTCTGTAATGAAAAGTGAAATTGTAATAATATAAAGTGCAGTGGCGTATTTGTTCATGTGTTCAAATTATGCATTGTGTGCATCTGAGAATGTCATTTAGAGTCCATAACGTGTTTATTTATGTTCATAATGTACATTGTGGATATTAACAGTGTGAATGAATGTTTCATTATTATGTATGAAAAAATCCTTGTATTAACCCTTGTAATACAGTAAAGTGCAGTGGAATATATGTTGTGTGTTGGTCTGTTAAAGAAAAGTTGATGTGTTGTAATTGTGCATTGTGTGCATGTAGAATGTGGAATACATATGTATCTGAAAGTGTGATTCTAATTTACTAATGTGCTTATATATGTACATAAAGTGCACAGTGTATCTTAAAATTGTGAATGAATGGTTATTCCTTATTATGTGTGCAAAATCCCTCGTACATATGTGCATGGCATTAAAGTGTAAATTGGGTAGTATTAATTAAACTGTAAATGGTAGTTAATAAATAAAATTGTGTTATATGAGTTTCTATTTATAGGAATGCATGAATAAGTTAAAAAGGTGCATTGATTTTCAAATTTCAGATATGCGGGGAACAAGATTGCAGAGTGTTAGGAAAGCTAAGGGAAAGAGATCCAATGAGTCAGCTCGGAATGAATTTGAACAGATTATAGTAAAGAGACAGAGAAAACAAGGAGAAGAACAAGAAAGTGATGATGACTTTGAGGTTCAACCCCGTCATGGTGGTGTCGATACAGAGTTGGTTGAAAATAAGGCCAAGAAAATAAGTATAAAAGAGATCAAATCTGGATATAGGTCAATACGTACGAGATCATCACCACATGTTTTAGCTAAAGCTCTGAGTGGGATGACAGAAGCTCAGAAAGCAGATGTTAAAAGCATAGGATTTGGTGCATTGTTTGATCTGGATATTGCTGAAATCCCTGGGAAGCTAGGTTATTGGGTGCTTGACAGCTTTGATCCAAAGAAATGCTCATTAGTGCTGCCAGATGGGACTAATGTGCGTATAACAGAGCTTGATGTGACACGAGTATTGGGGTTCCCTTTAGGAGGAAAAACAATTGCCCAAAAGAAGAAAAATGAAGATTGTGCTTTTCTACAAGACTGGAGAGCAATATTTAACAAAGAAGAATCAAAGATTAGCCCATCCGATGTTAGTGCTGCCATGCTTAGCAAGAGTGAAGGAGATGACTGGTTCAAAAGGCATTTCATTGTCCTTGTTGTGTATTTGCTACTTGATAACACACAGAATGGGTATGTGAATCCAATCATAATGAACCAATTGGAAGATGTTGATCAGATTATTAGTGAACTGAAATGGTGTGACCACGTTCTTAATTGTTTAATTGAGAACAAAGTTTCATGGGAGAAGAAGTAAGAAAAAGCCTTTACTGGCCCATTGTTGTTTTTAATAGTAAGTTAAACAAATATATTTTTTGTATATGGTTTTAAATTTTATTTGTTCTTTAATGCTACACTATATTAAGAAACATTTTTTGTGCAACTATTCTATGTGGACCGTGTTGTCTTATACAAATGAAAGATAGAGAGGACTTCACCAGTTCTGAAAGGGTGGAGCGGAAAACTACGTAAAGATAGAGAATTGATGGAAATAGAGACTGGGGGATTTGGGATGGGCTACTGTGAAGAGCCAATGAGTATTGAAGGGTGTTCAATGAACAATGAATTGAATTCTAAAAATAAAGCGGATGACAAAGGTGCAAGCAGCCAAGGAACGTTGGTGCAATCTACTCCTACTGAAATTGCTGAGGTATTGTTTTAAAAAACATTAGTGCATAATTTGTAAATGTTTTCAAACTGTGCATGTAGTGTCATATGTTTAAAATGTTATGCATTATATATAGAATGTGCGTGCAGCTGACATAAATTTAAACATGAATATTATTTACAGGAATTTTTGATCCGATTCGCAAACTAAAGCAAATTGCTGGAAGAAACTGTTGTTGATGTGATCAACATGTGTGAACAAGCTCCAAGGATCTTAATTGAATCAGAAAAGTACAAAAAAATGCAAGAAGCTGCAAAACAGTTGATTGGTCTTGGAAAGATGAAGAGAGTGGTGGAAGGTGTAGAAGAAATAGATGTTAGATGTACCGCAGAGATAGAAGATGCTTCTTTTTGGGCTGAAACAATAAGTGCAGTTGAGAGGGTTGAAAGAGAAAATATGAAGAAGACATTGTACGCAAAAGAAATAGAAGAGCTGCCCTCATTTTCAATTGGACTAACACAAGAACAACTGACGCAATGATATAGAAACAACTAACTTTGGATCAAATTATGGTACAATGATAAATCCGTATTACAACACGCATTTGATGCGTGTTGAGATCGAATTTTGATGTTTTTCCTAACTTTTAGGTATCACAAGACTCAATTCTAGCTCAAGTTATGTTTACTGGGCGTTGGTTCGAGTTTTGTTTTGTTTGGAGTCAAAATCAGGAATTAGAGTCTGGCATCGGCGCTTGAGAAGAAATCGGGATGAGTTGATGATGCATTCGAGAGATAACTGAGACCTTTGAAGGTCACCAGGAGGTTCACGATTAAGATTCGATGATAAAAGAGCTCTAGAATTGGCTACAGGATCAAATGAAGAGGAATAGAGCTTGAAAACGGCGTTCAGGATGACCTTCTGTCAATCGTTCAAGCATACCTTTTTGTAAAAACATCCAAAGAACACGACTCAAGTTTCATATGAAAGCCATCTGCAAGTGATACAAATCATAAGAAGACACCATTGCAAGAATCTGAGAGCAGCAAGGTGAAAACAGATGATGCAGTCAGATGATCGTTGTTTCGATTTCAGAATGCAACATCCCACCATTTTATTCATATCTTTTGATTGGATGATTAAAATCTAGTTTTTCAAGTTGTGATGGATAGAAGACTTTATTATCTACAACTTTTGTGAAGAAGGAATTATCAAATTCGGAAGGGAAGGCACGGTTGTGCATTAGGCACGGTCGTGCCTATAGAAGAAACAAGTACCAACTCCCTGGACGCGAAGAACGCACATGCGCCGCAGGCACGGTCATGCTTGGAGCCATGCCTGGCCCCAAAAACCCTAGGGCTGGCATTTTGAACCGAAAAACCGAAAACCGAACAGAAAATAACCGAACCGCTTTAGAAAAACACCGAACCGGACCGAACCGAACGAAATTGGGTCCCAATAACCGGGACCCGAAAAAAAATCGGTTCGGTTTCGGTTTATGTGCACAAAATATCGGTTCGGACCGAACCGAACCGACATTTTTATATTAATAATAATAATTGTTATTTATAATAACAATAATAATTAATGACGTTTAATAAAGGTATAATACTAAATCGAGCATGATTTGGACGTACTTGAAGAGTAGCCGACTTGGTTAGCTAGCGTCTGTTCTCATCCTTAGGTCGCGAGTTAGATTCCTGCAGTTGTAAGTTTTGTTTTTTCAGCTTTTTTTCCTATTCTCTTTAATCTTGTCCCACACCGGAAAATGAGAAGGTTCCTACTCCAAAACTTCAATATAAATAAGGTCCCCTTAGTGTAGAATGCCAAGATATGTTCTTGGAAGCTAAGTTACGTTCTGGGCTTCCATTGGACTAATTGGGCTCAAATATTGGCAAGTTTCAATGGGCTTTAATCAATTGAATATCAGTTCAAATTTATTTATTACAATTTAATCGGGTTTTTTCGGTTTCCGGTAAACCGAACCGAAAAAATCGGGTACCAAAAATCGGTACCCGTTTGTACATCGGTTCGGTTCCGGTTCTGATAATTTGGTAAACCGAAATATCGGTTCGGTTCGGGTGTATACCAAATCGGTTCGGAACCCGAACCGAAACCAGCCCTAAAAAATCCTATTCTAGCTCGAATTTTATCCCTTTTTTCCTATTTAAACAGTCTGTAAACCCTTGTTTTGAGAAGGAGCTTAGAGAGAGGCATAGGGACGAATTTTAGAGAGCTTTTCAGCCGTTTTCTTCAATTCCTTTGGATTATTTGTAAGTTCCTTATTTTTAATTAATGACAATTATTTCTATTCTTCAAAATTTTATTGATTATTCAATTATGAGTCGGGAGTAGTTTTAATTAGTGATTTGGGATTGATAAAGGGGTTAATCAAGATGTATGGCTAAATTCATGATGGATTAATTGCATGAATGTGTTTAATTTGTGTTTGAATGATTTAACTGATATCTCTTATAACTTAGAACTGCAGCTAGAATTACAATTGTTTGTAGAATAAATTAAGAGAGATCTAGTTTATTCTAAGACATCTTCACACACACTTAATCGCTCGCTAAGAGATTAGTAGCGATTAAGGGGCCGTAAGCTCGCTCGTCTTGAAAATAATTTAGCAATCTGTCGCATGAGAGATCAGCCTCATCCCCTAAATTATTGTACTCTACACCACGAGAGCGGTAAGAACTTAGTAATGATTAGAGCGGCTCAATTAAATTAATTTCATGTAATTAAGCCCGATCAGCCAGAAATCTGATTACCCCGAAATCAATCCATGTTCCCTTCGTCATTAATTAGAAAGCCCCAAACTTTATTTTCATTCGTTTGTTCGCATTTTAATTTTCCAAACCAATCAATCTCGCACAATTTATTTTATTTTTATTTCTTTTTAATCGCTGAAATTATTTAATTCTTAATTCCCTTTTGTCCGTCCCTGTGGAGACGATACTCGTACTTACACCATTATTCTACTACTTATTTTAAGTGTGAGAAAACTAACATCATTTTTTGGCGCTGTTGCTGGGGGCGGTGTCGGTTTTAAGAGTTAATTAATTTCAGTGAGATTTTTTTAGTTAGTTTTTTTGTAGGATTTTTTCTGTGCTAACCTTTCAGGGTTTTTTTAAAAGAGATATGAGATGAACTCATTTAGCTCAATTTCTGGAGGACACCATTCCCTCAAACCTCCACGGAGTATTCACCATATACGTCATAATAATGTATTTATTTATATTAATTAGGTTGTCTAATTATAGTAGGAATCTTGATGTATCTTGGACTTTTTATTATAAATAATACTTTCGGGGCTACCATTGAAGTAGTAGGCTTCCATATTATTCTCACATGGTTTCAGAGCCTTACGTTAATATTTTTTTTCCGCAACCTCTTCTACCGTTCAAATGTCAACTACGGCAGATTCTTCTACCACCATGGCAGCGCCTACTGCTGAAATTCAGACCACCGTTGCTACAGGCCAGACGCAGAGCGAGATGTCCGGGTCGTCCTTCTCCGGCTCGCCGGCTATATCAACGTTTTCGCCGCTAAGCTTCGGAAATTGGGCTTCGCCAATTTTCACATGGACTCCAACAACTCCGGTGATTCCGTCTCCACCACCGGCCGTATTACAGTCCAACACTGCCGGGTAGAATTTCGAGGGTGCAACATCGTTCTTTTCTGCTGGTCCAAGCGGGTCCTTCGCCGGATCGACGCTTATTGGCTCTCCAGGTCTGTCCATTATTCCACCGAACAGTCCTATAGGTCCTCGACATCAGGTAATATCCAGCAACTCTACCTTGGCGACACTGTCTCAATCCTTGGGTGTCTCTCCCATGAACATCACTAATATAGTTACTACTAAATTAAATGTTGTGGAAGATTATCTACATTGGCGTACGCACTTTGAATCCTTTTTAGTATCTCACAGTTTACTCGATATGTTAGATGGAACAATTGTGACTCCCTCTATGTATGTTATGAATATTCACAATTGTCAAGTTATGAATGATGAGTATTGTCATTGGCTAAAGTTGGATCAAACTGTACGTTCTTGGATTTTTGCTACGCTCTCTCGTGATGTTTTGGTAGACGTGCATACTGTTAAACATGCTAGATTGATTTGGGATCGTCTTGAATCCCGTTTTATGTCTGCCAACTTAGCCCGTTCTATGGAACTTGAAACAATGCTCACTACGTTGCGCAAAAAGGAGTCTCAATCCATGGAACAGTATCTTCGTGAAATCCGAAATATCACGGATGCCTTGGCTGCCATCAACTCTCCAGTCCCTATGAAAGATTTATTAGAACAAACTTTAATTGGTTTGGATCCTGATTATCAATCTGTGGTTACTCCCCTTACTTTATTTCCGAAGGGTCTTACTTTTGAGAAGTTGTGCAACAAGTTGGTTCATCAAGAACAGTGACTGCTGTTTCAACGACGTCAAGAACAGAACATGGGATCCCCGGCGTTCGCTGCACCTCAGGCTGCTGCCCCACAAGCTGCCGCACCACCTAGAGGACCAGCGCCCCAGCAGCAGCAGTACGGCCAACGAGGCCGCGGTGGCAGACGCGGACAGAGGGGTCGGGGAGGTCGTGGACAGCCTGCTCATTTTGGCGGTGGACAGTTTGGTGGGCGTCCATATCAGCCTCCGGGACAGCCAGGTACAGTTATAGGTAATTCTGCTGCGTCATGGTATTATACTAGTTATGCTTTATCAACTTCTGTTACTAATTGTGTATCTGCAGGCTCTCCATCTTTTGAAAATAGCTTTGGTACTGTTCCTCCTCCTGTTGTCTGCCAAATTTGTCACTCTCCAGATCATTCTGATGTCACTTGTTCTTCTCGCTTTGTTCAACCCTCCAATCCTGCCCTAGCTGTGTCTACTGGTGAATCCACATCTGCTGTATGGTTTCCTGACTCCGGTGCATCTGCTCATATGACTCCTCATGAAGGTATTTTGTGTAATAAATCCTCTTCTTCTGGGTCCCTTTCTGTCACGGTTGCTAATGGGTCTAATTTACCGGTTGCTACTGTTGGTAAAGTGTCCTTATCTACCTTATCTCGACCTCTCCATTTAAAATTTGTTTACCATGTTCCTCAAATTAAATATAATTTACTTTCCATTCAAAAATTATGTGCTGATAATAACTGTTTAGTGATTTTTGATAAAAAAAACCATTTTTTTAAAGGACATACCCACGGGGAAGGTTCTTCTGCAGGGTTCCAGTGATGGTGGAGTTTATCCTGTTAACTTTTCCACGCCTCTTGTTCTTAGCACTCACATTGCACCTGGTCTGGTCTGGCATAGACGGTTGGGACACTGTGGAAGTCACATTTTAGATAGGCTCAAGAAATCTGGTTATATTTTTAGCACATCAAATTTTTCTCATGATTGTACTTCATGTCGGTTAGGCAAATCTCAACGTTTACCTTTTCACGAAATTTTTCATAAGTCTACAGTACCGTTATATTTAATTCATTCAGATGTGTGGCAATCTCCTATTTTATCTGAATCT